ATTATAGCACTTAACACCTGGAAAAGTCAGATTTTCATGATATGTCACCTTTAAGTCAGAAAAAAGTCAGTGCATTGTCTTGTAGCTGAACTTTAAAGGGGACTCAACCCTCTTTTTATTTGTGATATACTGTCTCAGTCTAAATTACACTCACACTGCTTTTATAGGAAGCTAAACTAATTAGAACATAATAATAATAACAGCAATGACCGTAATCACGAGCTGATCGTCTGAACGAAGTGAGCGCTTCGCTTTGAAACAGACTTGATGAAGGGATTAATCATATAGTGCTTTCGGTTTGAGTTCGTTTGACAGATACTGTGCCAAAGCATAATGACTCTAAACACCTTTTATGTTAGAATAAGAAGTTAAATATATTTTAAAAACTACAGTTTTCGCCTGGAAGACCTATATTGTTTCATATCGTCATGTGACCGCGATGACATCGAGACTCTCGCGATACCACGATATTGATCATATCATTACATCCCTAGAATATACAGTAGATTCCCGTTTTCTGACTGGATTGTGTGATTCTGTCCGTGTTTTCTGCTCTAGACATGTTGCCTGTTAAGATGGCTTGTGTGACGTGTGTCATGTGCTGCTGATGGATTCTGTGTTCAGAGCGCTCGGTGAGTTCAGACGCTGTGAACCTGGAGAAGGCCAATGAGTTTAACAGTCCTCGAACCCAAGACCTGACGGCCAAACTGCGCAAAACCGTGGAGAGCGGAGACGAGGAGGCGTTCAGAGAGCTGGTCTGGGGAAATCCACGATATCTCATCGGATCCGGTGACAATCCCACTATCGTGCAGGTGCGCTTGTCCTCTGCAGGTGCTACGATGTTTCTGAAAGAAGTCTCTCCTGCTCACCAGGGCTGCTTTTATTTGATCAAAAATACAGTAAAAATAGTGAAATATTTTTATGATACAAACAGCTGTTTTCTATGTGATTATCTGTTAAACTGTAATGTATTTCTGTGATGCGCAGCTGTATTTTCAGCATCATTACTCCAGTCTTCAGTGTCACATGATCTTCAGAAATCAGTATAATATGCTGATCTGCTGCTCCAGAAACATTTCTGAAACAACAACTTTTATTATTATTATTATTAGTAGTAGTAGTAGTAGTAGTAGTAGTAATGATAATAGTTTACTTTATATATAACTATTGTTATATTAATAACAAATTAATATTTTTAATTTAAAAATATAATATTTTTAAACAAATTAAATTGCTATCAAAATAAGTTATATTCCCACAAATAGATGATCATTTTAATAATAATTTTAAAATGAATAACAATTTTAATTATTATTAGTAGTAGTAGTAGTAGTGATGATAATTAATAATTTACATTATATATAACTACTATTACATTAACATTATTATATAATATTATATCATTTTTTTTTATGTTACATTTAAATTATTTCTATTAAAATTATTATAATTACAATTTCTGTCGGCACGCAAAGTATAATAATGATCATTTTAATAAAAACAATTTTATAAATTAATATAAAATTTTATTGTTATTAGTATTAGTATTTCTAATTATTACAAGGTGTCCGCGGTGTCTTAAAAAGTATTAAAAGTTGATAAATCAATTTAGAGAAAATTAAGGCCCTTAAAAACTATTAAAAAGTCTTAAAATTTTGTATCATGTTTTCATTATGACCGTTACCATCCGCTCCCGCAAACATTCTAATATTGTATATAATATCCGCGCATCAGGGAGCCGCTGTCAATATGTTAAATCGCTTTTGAATGAGCGCTCGCTGTCGCAGTTCACTTTCGATTTCGCGATCATGTGCGCTCTGTGTAAAGAGAGCGCATCTTACGATATAAGATATTTGTCAATGAGCTCAGGATCTGTTGAGCAGCAAATCCTCCAACATATTGTCAGTCATCTTTCCTTACTCTCAACAAACACGTATTTTAGCACTCCGTAATCACAGGTAAACAGTCTGATCAGTCAGGTGTTTGTCACGAGAAGTGCTCCACAAAACAGCTATGGTTTGCAGACAGTTATAAGAGTTGATGTGACAAATACGTCTTTTGAATATACTGTGTAAATACTAGGGCTGGGTAAAAAATATCGATATCTCGATATTAATCGATTCTCATTTTTACGGAACGATATCGATTCTTAAATCCCAAGAATCGATTAGTCTAGCCTGTTTTCAGTTAATGGACGGAACGTTGAAGGGCACTTCCCATCCAATATATCGCAATAAACATTGTGCTTTGGTACTTTTAATATGAAACAAGTCTCAGATTTCAAATTCTGTCCATTGTATTGCAGTATTTAAACAATAAATGTAGTTTTGGCGCCGTTTAATGTGGCGTGACAGATCGCTGTAGCACCTCAGTTTAACAGACGTGAACTGATCATCTCCTCCGCTTTATTACTAGTTATAGCACAAAATAAACATGACTAAACATCCGAAGGTAAATTAAAAGAAAGAGTACAACTTTACAATCCCATGTAATCTCTCAATCAGTGTTTCAGCCGCGCAAAGACGTCAATATAACGGCTTGTAAACAATGCCACGTCACATTTACCTCAGAAAAACATATTCGGTGACCATAAACTCATTAATCAGATAGAAAAATAAACTGTAGAGAGGGGCATTTTGCTAAATATATGCACCATATAACATATTCATTATAAATTGGACTGTTCTTCAATGTTTAATTTATGTTTGAATAAATCCATCAAGATTTTAAGACAGCCACCATTATGTTTATATTTAAAAAAAGTAGAAATATTATGTAGTTGTAACTTTATTATTTTAAAAACTTAATTAAGTGTGATTTTAACAAATCAGTCAATTTTAACCTTCAGTATTATAGTCATGACTCTCGTGTATATTTCACAGCATTAGTTGAGAGATTTTTTTTTCCTTGAGAAAATTTGGCATGTACTGTACCTGATATATATCCAGAATAATCCGTATCGAAACGAATCGTGAATTTTGTGTCAAAACCCAGCCCTAGTAAATACTCATCGTCCCGTTAGCTCGGAGAACTTTATTTTTTCTCTCTTCAATAAGTTTTATCAGTTGTTTTGTTTATTGGTCTAATCCTTGTTTCTTGGGTTGCGTTGGGTTAGTCACTCAATTAATTCTCTTGTGCTTCGTTCCCGTCCTTCTGAATTATGTTGCATTGATAAGGAGTTATCACAAAGTAAGACTGTTTAGTTGTGCTACCTAACAATCGATATGTAATAAATGTAAGTTAAAGTCTCGCCAGTGTAAGAGGATGAGGTCTTAAAATGTATGTTAAGAGGCTTAAAAAAGGTCTTGCATTTAACTCCATGATATTATCAACAGTCGTGCTGCACAATATTTTTGTGGAAACTGATGCATTTTATTTTTCAGGATTCACTGATGAGTAGAAAGTTCAAAAGAACAGCATTTATTTAAAATATCTTACAAACATATTTTGTACAGTTTTAATGTCCTGGTGGTTGATGTCTTGTGAGCAGGAGGGCTGCAGATATAACGTCTTGCACGTGGCGGCTAAAGAGAACCAGGCGGGCATCGCTCGTCTGCTGCTGGAGACGCTGGAGGAGCCCGAGTTCATGCGGCTCATGTATCCTAACGATAACGAGCTCATGCTGCAGCAGCGCATTCGATACATCGTCGATCTGTACCTCAACACGCCTGACAAAGCTGTGAGTGTGCTGTTAATTACATTCTATTACTGGTGTTAAACTTAGAAGTGCTATTCCTGTTGGCACACAAAGTATAATAATGATATTTTTGATAATAACGATTATAAAATGAACAACAACTTTTATTATTATTAGTAGTAGTAATGATGATAATTAATAGTTGACTTTATGTGTAACTATTATTATAATAACAAATTAATGTTTTTAATTTTAAAATATAATGTAATATTTTTAAATAAATTAAATGATTGCTATCAAAATGATTATAATTACAATTTCTATTCCCGCAAAAAGTATAATGATAATTTTAATAATAACAATTGTAATTATTATTATTATTAGTAGTAGTAGTAGTAATGAAAATAATGAATGGTTTACATTTATATATAACTATTATTACATTAACATTATATAATATGATATATATTTTTTTATGTGTAAAAATGTAACATTTTTAAATAAATTACATTTCTATAAAAATTATTATAATTACAATTTCTGTTAGTATGCAAAGTATAATAATGATCATTTTAATAAAAACTATTTTATAAATGTATTATTAGTATTAGTGATATTAATTAATAGTTTACTTTATATGTAACTATTAATATTATAATAGTAAATTACTTTTTTTTTAAATTTACAAATAAATTTAATCATTACAATTTCTATCGGCACGCAAATCATAATAATGATAATTTTGATAAGAACAATTAATATCAAATTTGATTATTATTAGTATCAGTGATCATTAACATGTAATGTTTTTAAATAAATTAAATTATTGCTATAATTTCTATTGGCAAACAAAGTATAATAATGATCATTTTAATAATAATAACAAACAAGCATAATAAGGAATTATTATTATATTAAGAAAATTAATTATTTAAATATTATAATAATTTTAAAAATAATAACATTATTATTGTATTATTATTTTAAATATTACTGTTATTGTTATTATCATTAGTAGTAGTAGTCAACAGTATGCAACCGCATAGCAACACCTTAGCAACCGACCTGGGTACCTTAGCAACCACATAGCAACACCTTAGCAACTACCCAGATTATCCTAGCAACCGCATAGCAACACCTTAGCAACCGCATAGCAATACCCTAGCAAATGACCTGGGTTCCTAAGCAACCGCATAGCAACACCTTAGCAACTACCCAGAGTATCATAGCAAACGCATAGCAAAACCCTAGCAACCACCCCGGGCACCCTATCAATCACATAGCACCCTAGCAACCACCCCAAGTACCCTAGCAACCACATAGAAACACCCTAGCAACCACCCTGGGTACCCTAGCAACCGCATAGCAACACCTTAGCAACTACCCAGAGTATCATAGCAAACGCATAGCAAAACCCTAGCAACCACCCCGGGCACCCTATCAATCACATAGCACCCTAGCAACCACCCCAAGTACCCTAGCAACCACATAGAAACACCCTAGCAACCACCCTGGGTACCCTAGCAACCGCATAGCAACACCTTAGCAACTACCCAGAGTATCATAGCAAACGCATAGCAAAACCCTAGCAACCACCCCGGGCACCCTATCAATCACATAGCACCCTAGCAACTACCCCAAGTACCCTAGCAACCACATAGAAACACCCTAGCAACCACCCTGGGTACCCTAGCAACCGCATAGCAACACCTTAGCAACCACCCCAGGTACCCTTGCAACCATCCCAAGTACCCTAGCAACACCCTAGAAACCACCCCAAGTACCCTAGCAACACCTTTTTCTAATAGACTGTATTGCCTTCAAAACATTCAGACTTTAATCTTTCAAACTATTTCAAACTGAAAACCGTCAAATTTTTAAAACTTTTTTTTTTACTTTCTGGTCTGTCTTTCTCAAGCCAACTTCAAAGTTTCTCTCGACGAACTTTTTTATCTAGTTGTTTTTATCATCATTAGTAGTAGTAGTCATAGTAAAAAGCAGTGAATGGCGTGAATGCACATATATCCTGCTGACAGACCTGTTCTCCGTATCTGAGATGTGATGTTCTTCGCAGAGCAACGAGACGCCGCTGCACTTCGCGTGTAAGTTTGGATGTCCGGAGGTGGTGGATGTTCTGTGTTCACATCCGAGCATCGACAAACACTGCAGGAACAAATACGACCAGAAACCGTCCGCTGTAAGAACCTGACCCGTCTTAAACATGTCTTACTCTCATTCCTGAAATAACGGCTCACGCTCTCTCTGCAGGTGATCTGTGAGCGCAAAAACAAGAGCAAGGAGGTGAAGCAGAGGATCATGGAGTATTTGGAAGGTCTGTTTCCATCATGACGCTCCAGCAGTGTTGGGGAAAGTTACTTTTAAAAGTAATGCATTACAATGTTGCGTTATGTTACTACGTAATTATGTTAGTTACTTTTAATGGAAAGTAATGCGTTACGTTACTTTTGAGTTACTTTTTAAATCTGGGCGGGGCTTGCTTGTTTGTTTTGAATATAAAAAGTTCTTCTTCTACAAACGTAAAAGCCCTTTCTCACTAAAAGTGAAGTGAATGCGCCTCAGGCTGAAGGAAATGTAAACTCTGGTCTGTACAGTAGAGGGCGCCGCTCAAACTAACTACATGAAGAATATGACGCAGGAGAAGAAAGTTCAACACTATTCAGCAATAACACAAATCAAACACAAATGTGTCATTTCTGATTATTAGTATGATTGAATTGGATCATCGAAGGTCAGCAGCAAAGACACTGGTTAATAAAATGGGATTAAATACATAAGTGATATTTGTCTTATTTAACAATTATTGCAGGTTTGTATAATATTCTGAGTTTGTATTTGACAGTATTTATTGATTGTGAGGAGCACTGAATGTGTTTGTGTGCAGTGAGATGAGTAAACACATGTTGATATTGAGTCTAGAGCTACAGTAAGATCATGTTCACACACAACACTCTGCTCTTACTCCTGATTTCTGTCACCGTGGCAACACCAGAGCTGTCACTCAACACATGGAAACAAAGTAACTGGCATTACTTATTTAAAAAATAACTCAGATATTTCCTTCTGAATCAACAAGTAATGCGTTACTTTACTAGCTACTCAAAGTAATCTGATTGTGTTACTTGTAATGCGTTACCCCCAACACTGTAATTCAGTCTGTGTGTGTGTGTGTGTGTGTGTGTGTGTGTGTGTGTGTGTGTGTGTGTGTGTGTGTGTGTGTGTGTGC